AAGTTTTCCTCAAGATCACAAAGTTAAGAGTTCAGTTTCTTTGTGCCATAGTGTTCCACAGCTTGAGGCTGTTTCTGTCCCAGCACTTCATTTCCATAGGGAACTGGAGTGACAGTATTGGTCTCCACCGTGCCCCCTGTCCCCCAGCTGGTGAGCATTCTGGACAACTGCAGGGCATAAGCCACCTCCTGAAGAGGGTGCAGAGCATGTCTGTAAAAAGGAACAACTGTCCAATATCTCAATTTGAAAGCCTGACATGTTTCATCCACCCATTACTGTAGAAATTGTAGGACCAACTGCAGGAAGTGCTTCCCTCTTGCCCCCTTTCACAACAACAAACTCCAGCACAGCTGTACCCAAACCTGGAGAGGTGTAAGGGGTGATGCAAGGTCTAATGTTAGATCCTGATGCTTTGTATCAAAAGCACACCTGATGTAGCTGCACACTGCATTTAATCCAYCCTGTATTCCCTCTCTTCAAAAAGGCTCAGAGAGGAAAAGCAGAAACAGAAGCAGCAACATGATGAAGGATCGAAAAAGGATAAGGAAAGACCACAAGCACCTGCACGAAAGGTAAGTGCAGTGGTCTGTGGGAACACCTCACCTCACCAGCTCACTTCAGGGAACCTGGAGATATCTGAATATTAAGGGTTCAAGGGAAAAGTGTTATTAGGGGCCCTCACAGCTGGGGAGATGGCACATAGAGCCATGTGTGGCCCAATTTACAGCAGTGATGCAATTTCAGCGGCTTCTGGAGAGTCAGTCAGTGCACACTATTCCAGCTCAGTGGCCTTCTGCCGTCCTTCACTTGACCACGACACCCTCCATTACCTGCCAATTCTCAGTAAGCTCATTTCAGCTCATTAACTTGGCTGTATTAAACAAAGCATGAAAATTGGCAAATGAGGAACTGGGCAGCAGCAGGACACTCCTGATAAAGGCAGCAAGGGCTGAGATCAGCTCAGCCATACTATCAAAGCACACCTTTTCTGACATCATCTGCCATCATCTGACATCTGACCACATCCTGCCAAACCAAGCTCTGGCCCCTGGGGAGGCTCAGGGCAGAGCTTCTGCCCTGGCTCCTGCTGCACCTTCCCCAGCTCAACACAGCTGTGAGGACACCCCAGTTCTGTCACACAGCAAAGCAGGGACAGCACAGGTGACTTGAGAACAGGGGCCACGAGTCCCTTCCCCTTCAGCCAACGGAAAATAGAGGGTTTTGTAGGCTCCATCTGATAGTTCTTGGATCTCCAACTTCCCCTCCTCTTCCTGACACAGGACGAATGAGGCTTTAGCCAGAAACCAGTTGTAGGTACAACAGTGAGTTCTAGGAGCTGGAGCATCACACACACAGGTGTTTCACACTCACTTCCCAGTACAAAAAGTGCATGAGCAGACACCCTACAGCCTGCCTAGARAACAGGGCAAGGGGCAGCGCCCTCCCAGCCCGGTGCACTGAGTGTTCTGCTGCACTCCCAAGCACTGATGCAGCGCCTCTTCCTCCTCTGCAGCACGTCTAGACAAGGGCCCTGCACTCCAAACCCTGCCAGGAAGGAGCAGAAAAAGAAMAGCCAAGGACAAACAGATAAGGAGACTGAAGAACAATTGCATTATTTCTCTTGATGGCACAGCCTTAACCACAGCTTGTGGAGCAGATGCTGCTCTAAAGTCTTTTGCAGATSTACATTCTGCCTGTCTTTGCTCAGTTGAACTTTACTGCACCACAAAATTTCCTTCTTCTCTGACATTAAGATTCCAGGGAAAGTTTGCAACCCCCTTTCCCRTACTTTGATATTTTGCCTAAGAAAAGAAATAAAAATTCTCTCATTTTGCTTCTCAAGCTCCTGCTAAGCACCAATGCATTTCTCATTCAGTTTGTGATGCCAATAGCACTATCCCCATGAACTTGAGCAGTGAATTCTATCACAGTCCCAGGTGACAATCTTTGTTAAGGCACAACTAAGCCAGGCACCTCCCAGACATTTGACACAGGTCTTCAGAAGGACTATAAAAACCAAGGGCAATGCTCTAACCCAAAGTCATTACAGACTTCAGCCCACTACTGTAAAGAAGCAGCAACCRAAGGAAGAACACAAACTCTGCAGAAATCAAGCTGCCCATAAGTAGCTTTGTGTCAGATGCATCCATGCAAAGAATAATACCCAGTGACAAACTGACCATAAAAAAAAAAGCTTTATTAACCCTTTTGCACCAGCAGTTCTTCAGGTATCCATTGCCAGCAATGGACTCCAAGCCAAGTGATCCAATTTTCGGCCCTCAAGAGGTTAGCTCTTTACATTCACTTACAAAGCTGAGTGAGGTACATTTTCAGAAGTAGAAAGATTTGGTTGCAAGTCCCRTAAAAAGATGGAGCATTCCTTGGCCATTGCAATAGATTACAAACTGGTATGGTCCTTGAGAACAGAATAATGCAGGCATTGGGAGCTCGAGGTGTCTTGGCWTCCAGGGAGAGCACGGTGACCACTAGAGCAAGACCCTTCAGCACAATTCCTTCTCAATCTTTCCACCTCTCAGGAGTGGACTCCAAGCTGCAGTCACAGCCCCAGAGTAAATCTCATCTACTAATTTGGAAACCCAGTCTGAGAAGGTTCAGGCTTTCCCTGGACATAAGCTGTAAACTCCAAGTGAGAGGAACAGAGAGCTCAATGCTCACTTAGGCTAAAGATAGAAAAATAAAGCTGGTTCAACCAGAGATATAATACTGCCTACAAATCAGGAGCTGAAGCTCATTGTAACCTGTATGCTTTTTTTCCTCTCCAAGTCTCCAATCTAAAAAAGCATTTATATGGACACATACATAGTTCAAAAGGCACAGGAAGTAAAAGCATTTCTGAACGACCTCATGTGAATTTAACATCAGTGTAACTGTAAAATAAATAAATATGTGCAAGATTAGAAAGATCACAACGTTCTCCTCTGTGACATATCTTATTTCGTAAAAAAAAAAAAGAAAATACACATACGTGCATACACACACCTCACTGAGAATAAAAAAAAAGTACAAAGTCTTTTATCAACTCCTATACATACTTTTACAGGCATTCAGAACATCACCATAAGAAACACTTAAATTACTACCTTAAAATGTAACCAAAAGGTGGTTTTTTTTCCCTATCCAACCCTATACTTATTTAGGTGTCTGCAATCCAGATAAGTAGAGTACATACAACCTCTCCCCCCACCCCCAAGAGAAACTGCAGTTTGCAGGGGCAAAACTTCCTTGGCAACAACTCTTTCCCCCTCACGAAATACTCTGACAACTGCGTATTTTGTAAACCAGCCAAAAGCTCCATGTGCATGTGACACTCTGGGAYAGCAATAAAGAACATGTGCTAACAGTGAACAAAACAGAAACACCAAACAAYCCAAAACAAAAAGGTAGTGGCCAGTTCACAGGTAACTTGGCATCAGTTTATAGATGAGATAAAAATCAAGGTGCTTAAATTTACATGACGGTCAACATTCCTCCCAAAAAAGGGAACACAAAGATAAAACAAACCTCTCTCAGATGCTGTTGGACTCTTAGCTAATCACTTACAGTGAGTACAGATCTATTGCAGTTTTCAAGTTTTGCTGGAAGAATTCAGCAAAGTATTTGGGATGCAGGAGCAAGGAAAGGGAGAAACTCAACATGAGCTACAAACTGATTCACAGCTAAGTTAACATTTAGAATCTAGCTTTCTAAAACAAAGATTTTAGAGCATCTCATTTTCATGGCATAGAATATTAATTTTGTTACATGTGACACTTTATTCCAGTTTTCTGCCAAAACACAGGGGCCGAAACAATCCTCTTTTTTGTGTGTGTAGAAAACACTTGCAAATTTTAGCTCTTAGTTCCTTAATGCCTCCTTCCAGGAGGAGACCAATGGAAGGGAAGTTTTAACTGTTGTAGGMAGGATTGTAAATTTGCACTTGTTAGCTGTAGAATACTTGCTTTCCTGTGAAAACAGTAAATATTACCTCAGTTTGAAGTGTAATAAAGTACTTCTCCCTGAAACAACACTGTACAGCAGTCTGCCTCAGCCTCCCCAACCACCTGGCAGACATGGTATCTTACACAGGCACATCAAGTGGAATTTACATTTTTAAAGAAAATCTTTCAGCTGCAACTGTCTTTAGCAAATCACAAAGAGTGCAACCATACTCCAGTTCTCCTACTTTCCRTATTTTCCTTGGAAAAAGACCCACACAGTTATCTCACTCTGTCATGATTGCCCAATTTGTTTTCAAGTAACTGGTCTTAATAATCGTCATTCCAGATCCTGTAAATTTATTGTGCTTCCAGTGAACTGAGAGTTATCAGAACCTGCATCATCTTCCGTGGAATTGTGTGGTTCCTGTTAAAGCAAACAGACAGCATGAAGTACTTTCACCTCTAGATGCTTTCAGKGCTTATCAGCAAGATTATCTTGACATTTATCCAACACCAGAGAAATGCCTGGAATGGCTCAGAGGAAACACAAAGCTTTCCCACTCTAGGGATCCACCCAAACAGGGTTGCCATAGTTTTTCTATGGAACACTTCAGATAAGCATTACTAATTGAAAAATATTTAAAGTCCCTTTTACCTCCATTAACTCTCTACCATGGCAAACAGTCCCACTCCTCYTGTATTTCTAGTTTTCAAGGAAGGTGCCCCTCCTCAAGAAAAAAAGCTTTATTCTTCTGTGTAGGGGAARCACACTTGGCAGGAACATGCAGTTTGTAAAAAACAAGGTCCCCAAGCAGGCTTTTTAACATAACTGACACTCCCATAAGGGCACCACTCYGAAATCTAGGCTCAAGATTTCATTTCCCACTTCCCACCCTTCCTGTAGCCTGCAACACTCCAATTCTGATCCTCTTTCTTGACCAAGGATCTGCAGGATGGGGTCAGGAAAACAAAGATGGGGCATTTCAGAAAAAAAAAAAAAGAGTAACATTTAGTTATTCATTACTCAGGAACAGGAAAAAATCCAATCACCTCTGATGTGTCAAAGGTTGGTAAGAGATACAAGATAAATTGTGCAGTGTAGCTCTCTGCTTACTACTCCTTGTGAGTGAAATTCAACTCCCAATGGAAAACAAGGTGTTTTCATCAGGCAGAACATGAGAGTGTTCACAKGAAACTGTCTTTACTTTCAAGCAAGGCAATAAAACCCAAAGGCTTGACATGCTGTACCTGAAGGATGTGAACAGGTAGATCCACTGTAAGCTGAGAATGTGACGAGGAAGACTGAGAGCTCAGCTGAAAGGGCAAATCTCCCTCTCCTGGGGAATCATCCTGTRAATGCAGAACATGATGAAACTACACAACTCCCAAGTATCTCAGCATAATATTGCAAGTTTCATTCAGCCTTGCAATCTTAAAAAATCTGATAAAGCCACTGCACTGTACTAGTAGGCCTACATCCACAAAGAAGTGGAAAGCTAACTGCAACTAAAATCTGAACCTAGCTCAGTGTACAAACTATTACCCTGTCCTGTTCATCAGCTTGAAACACTGGCAAGATCTGAAAAGGTAGGAATGATTAATTTTCCAACAAATCTAACACTTAGAAATGTGCAGTAAGCTTAATCATGTTTTCACGAAGCTGATACTAAACATGAAAGTTACAAATGAGTACACCTGTCCAAAAAATAGAGCTGTGGAGAACTCTGCCCACAGGTCTCTCCATACCAGTTGTTAGGAATAAAGCAGAAGGAAGTTACCCTCTCTCTGGATACYATACAGAGATACACCTGGCAAAAAACATACTACCTGCCATGCTCCACTAATCAGTCCCCAGCAGTTATTATAGTTTTAGCTTTCTTAAATCTTAAGCTTTATTTCAACAAATTAGGGAAGCAACAGTTTAGGCTGAAAATGCCTTTTGCAGGAACATTTTAATGTTGGTCTAATTTACTCTGTAAGTAAGAGGCAGAATAATATAAAGAGTACTGCAGAACTCAACACCCCATCCAGGGGCAGTAGTACCTGAGTTCACAAATACTCAAAGTCTTCTGTAAATGTGAGTTTGGATAGCAGAGAAAATAAGCATGTTTTTTTCTTCTCAGCTCTTACCTGAAGAAGCTGAATTTGCACATACTGGGCTCCAGTGGCAGGGTCCCTTATTGTCAGCCCTCCATTTGGCAGAACTATGTTACCACCCAGTCGACTGCCAGGTGTGGACGATGAGAAGTTGGTAGGGCTTACTTTACCACCCTTGTTTTTCCTGTGACCAGAGCCAGATGCCCCTAAAAGAAAGCCATTTTAATATTTAGATGGTGAGAAACAATTTCCCAAAGTTTTCTGCTGGTATTTCTCAACTTTTTGCAGCTGTTTATGCTACACAGCAAATGCCCACACAGTGCAAGATAATTAAGAACCATCTGACAGCTGCTAAAAGGCCAGGGAGCACTCAGCTGGTGAACTCCAGCTGCTGACTGAGCATCTTTTTACACGAACATCATTAAAAAAAAATCACAAATTGCTAAGCTTAGGGCTCTCCCCTGTGGTAACACAGAAATATCAGCATACTTGTGGTGTTATAGAAAGGAATTAGGAAGTAGGATTGCATTTTCTATTTTGAATTTTGCAACTCATTTCCTGAGAAGTCATGCACATCATTTTTCTAAACTGTAGAAAAAGCATAGTGAAGATCATTATTTACAGAAAGATTTCAAGGACTGTTAGGTAGCTGTACTTGTGTAATCTGTTTTATCACAGCCTTAMGAACTTTTCAGTTTAAAGCAGGATAAACCAGCTGTTGTATCACAAGCTGAAAACCAAAACCCCAATCAAAACAAATGCAAGGATAGAATCCTGTCATTCCTTCATATTTTTGTTTGGATTTAAAAAAAAAAAAAATCTATAATAAATGAAGGGCTTAGATAACCTGTTTTTAAACACGGAACTTCCCTCTACAGTATTCACTCCATCTAATTAAGCCAAKCAGAAATACAAGATGATTCTCTAGACCACTTAGAGAAGCACAGAGTAGCATTAAGGCAACAGCTGGTGAAAAGYGGACTACTGGGAGTCTTGAGTAGGAACAGAAACAGCAATTTTCTGARGTCATCTTAGGAGACATGCAAAGTGCAAGCCTTTTTTCAAACTAATGTCCAAAAGACATTTTGATAATACAAGACCCCTTACAACTAGCTYCATAAAGCAGTTATCCTTCCAGGTGATGA